TCCAAACCCATTCATTCAGCTCCTTCACCAGAGCCTTGGCAACTCCTGGCAGGTAACCCCCCTGGTTGTGTAAAGAGCTGCCTGCCACCAACACTAGCGCCCATTGGGTCCCTGCCCCACTGGATCTGGGAGAACAATTTTTCTTTATAATTTAGATTTGAGGATGAGGCCCCAGAGGAAATATTTAATATGCCTACAGAGACTCACTTATCGGATGTCCTCACTTTTCATACCGACGCCGGGCTCCGCTACCGTACTCACAAAGAGCAGCGGGGAGGAACTCGCGGTTCGCCCAGCGTTTGCAGGGGCTGCTCGCAGAAGCCCAGGCAGGCTGACACGCATCCACAGCGGAAGAGCACAGAAAACACCGAGCAGCTCAAAGCGGCTTTGCCTTCTTAAACACGTGCATTGATCGAACCTGGAGTTGTTTTACAGAGACAGCCCTGTGTCAGCACAAGACGAGAACCCATCTCCACGATGACCCTGGAACCAAGAGTCTTCAGTCTGTGGAACTCAGAGAATAGAAACGTTGCCACCAGAGCCCTTCATGAAGCGAGAGACCCTTCAATAAGGAAAGCCTGGCTTCCAGCAGTGCGAGTAGCTTGTACGGACTGCTTGGAGGCTAGCCAGTCAGCTTCCAAGTCCAAAACTCCCCCAACCCTTTGAGTTTTGCCCCCGAACCCTGGATCAGGGAGACAGATGTGCGTCCTGCCCCTTGTGTCCTGGCAGCTTGACCTCGCAAAAGACCTCATTCTTCCCGCAAAAGCTGGTGACACATTACCGGCTTCTATGCGCGCTGGGCAGTGAGCCTTTGCTCGGATCATGAAGGGAACTTATGGGCTGCGTGGCAAAGACGCTCTGCCACAATCTGCTTCTTAAAAACTGCCCAGACGGCAGATCTGACCACACGACTAACCCCTGTAAGGCAGAGGCCAACAGACTCCTAGCCCTCAAAGCTGGACTACCGTAACTCACGCAAAAACCAGCTGAGCCACTCTGGTGCCAGAGCTGCTCAAAATCTCCTGCTGAGTTGAAAAGCCTTGCTTACTAACCAGTTTCACTTATCAGGCTGCCATGAAGCCCAACTGTGAGCTGTCACAAATCAATAGTATTTAGGGAGTGCTTTCTACGGGCATGGCCCTTGCTTCAGACAACGAACAGTGACAACAAGCCTCTAAGGAAAAGGCTGTGGAATATATGTACAGCTGGGTGAAGGTCAGGGAAGAGTCCCAGATGATACGAATTCTGTCTCTTGAGGGCAGAAACACAAAACGAGTCCATTTTCAAGATTCTTTCCTGAGTTTGCAGAGATGAGATGCGGATTCGCACAACACCTTCAGGAAAGTATCATTTCAATACCCTGCCTTCCTGCTATCTGGGGGGATGAATGTTCTGTTGGTTATCTTACTTGCAGCTGAAAGCATCCTACCTGATATGTGATACGTTTAGTGCAGGACTCTCTGCGCCGGCTCAGGTGGCAGGACCAGGAGTGCCTGTGGTTGCAGGGAACTTGTCCCTCGGCAGGGTGGCGGGGGGGGCGGTGGAACTCTGAGTCTATTCCAGGTTGAGGTGATGAGCAGGTCTACCAGAGAACCAGGGGTCTGCCTCACTGCGGGGTCCTCACCACCTACCATCTCCGTCCTCCTCCACACCCACTCACTTCTACACACAACCTGAGCATGAAGATTACTGAAGGCTTCACAACAGAGAACTTTCAACCTCTAGTAGAGAAGCCACGCTGGGAGGGGTTGAGGAATGAATCACTTGTCACAATACAGGACTTAGCTTTAATGCATTTGATGGTGGTAAAGGAGAGAGAGCACAGATACTTAATCAAGAGACCTTTTTCTTTTTTTTAAAAAAAGTAGAAAGGAGACATTAACAGGCCAAGGAGAAGGTGCTCTTTGCACTTGGTGGGTGCTCAATAAATATATGCTTAACCAAAGCTTGAGATTTGAGATAAACGTGTACAACAACCCCATTCAGCATTTCTTCCTTGGGGCATGTCCTCGTGGGGTACTCGAGTCAGTCGTCAGAGGAACACAGAGTAATCTCTTAACTCCTCACTCAACCTATGGGACTTTCTCTAGGGAGTCTGACAAATTAGGACAGCAGTTCAGCAGAGGTTACATGCAATCAGCGTTGATGAAATTCTATACATCGCTGTCTCCCAAGTCTCCCTCTCAGTTGCCTGGTTACAGAAACTTTATCAACAAATGTGAGACAAATGTAAACAAACACCAAAAAAGGAAGTTTCGCCTTTCTGGGAGAGGAATGGAGATTTCTGTGTTTACTCAAAGAGGTCAGCAACGCTCTTGCCCCACGGCCCTCCGAACCAACCACCGGGAGAAACCTTTCTTTGGGTTACACAAAAGCTTGCTTTCACACCCTTGACCCTGATGTGCACAGAGGAGCGGGAATTTTAGCCTGTGATTTGTTTACACATTTTGACTGTGCTTTTTACCTTCATCCTATCTTTGTGAAGAGGTGTTTCTAAAAGGAAAGAATCCCAAATTCAATGCTGGAAATCTGCAGGGAGACAGGAAGTGGTACAAGGAATTTTCACTTGCATTTGTTTCTGGGAATCTATCAGATCAGTGCTAGGGGAACACTTGTACTCCAGGTGAGAGATTCCCTGGTTAAGTTCTGAGGTTAAGGTATCAGAGCAGTGGTGATGATTTCCCTGATTTACAGGGGTGAGGCACTGCCTAACTTTTTTTGCTTATCCATTTTTTATACTATGCTCTGGCAAAAGCTAATCCAAATGTTCGAGTGTATACGAAGAAGAAACGTGTACTTTCCATGACTAATGCTAGCTGGGGTCGCTAGCAGAAAGAGATCCAGGCTTGGGTGGGGAGAGGTTTATTTATAACATGCTACATGCCCAATGTATTTCATCCCTTTTGCCCAGGATAACCTTTTTATAATTTTTCTAAGTTATTTATTTTATTTTTTGGCTGCGTTGGGTCTTTGTTGCTCTGAGCAGGCTTTTCTCTAGTTGTGGCGAGCAGGGGCTACTCTTCCCTGTGGTGCACGGGCTTCTCACTGCGGTGGCTTCTCTTGTTGCGGAGCACCGGTACTAGGCGCTGTGGGCTTCAGTAGTTGCAGCACGCAGGCTCAGTAGTTGTGGCTCGTGGCTCTAGAGCTCAGGCTCAATAGTTGTGGCGCACGTGCTTAGTTGCTCCGTGGCAAGTCGGATCTTCCCAGACCAGGGCTCAAACAGGCAGGCGGATTCTTAACCACTGCGCCACCAGGGAAGCCCCAGGATAACCATTTTTCTAATGGGTAAATCATGTGTTCAAGAATAAGAATCGAGCCATTTGGTTTGTCTGCAAGGCCTGCCCATCGTACCCTTCTGGGCTGACCCTGAAAGAGCCCGTCCCAGGGGCCCACAGCTGGTTCACCCTGAGTCCTAGCATGTGTGTTTCTGGCAAGTGGGACCTGGGAATTGGCTTCCTCCTTGAAAAATCAAGTTGCAGAATATATAAAACATGACACCAAGTGTATAAAGCTTAAACGTGCGCAGAACAAACTGTCATAGGTTGAATTATCCCCTCAAATTCATACGTTGAAGTCCTAACCACCAGTACTCCTCAGAATGTGACGTTATTTGGAAAAAGGCTTACTATAGATGTAATTAGTTAAGATGAGGTCGTACTGGAATACCATGAGCCCCTAATACAGTATGACTGTGTCTTTACAAGAGGAGAAACCTGACAAATTTAGACAGAGAGGTACAGGCACACAGGGAGAATGCCACGTGAAGGTGAAGGTATGTATCAGGGGATGATGCACCTACGATCCAGGGAGAGCCAAAGACAGCCGGGAAAGCACCAGAAGCTGGGAGAGAGGCTGGGACAGACTCTATCACAAACCTCAGAAGGAAACACGCCAACTGACACCTTGCTTTCAGACTGCTGCCCTGCAGAACACTGAGACGATATATTTCTGTTCAAGCCACCCCACCAAATCACCCCACCCCCATATAAATACACCACATGTGTACACCAGCCCATAAATGCCCTCCCTCTGCTGGGGGCCAAGAAACCCAAGTCACAAAACCCCCATATATACACAACATATGTGTACACCAGCCCATAAATGTCCTCCCTGTGCTGGGGGCCAGGAACCCCAAATCACCCCACCCCCATATATATACACCAGCCCATAAATGTCCTCCCTGTGCTGGGGACCAAGAACCCCAAATCACCCCACCCCCTTATATATACACCAGCCCATAAATGCCCTCCCTGTGCTGGGGACCAAGAACCCCAAATAACCCCACCCCCATGTATATACACCAGCCCATAAATGTCCTCCCTGTGCTGGGGACCAAGAACCCCAAATCACCCCACCCCCGTATATATACACCAGCCCATAAATGCCCTCCCTGTGCTGGGGACCAAGAACCCCAAATCACCCCACCTCCGTATATACACACCATATGTACACAACAGCCCATAAATGCCCTCCGTGCGCTGGGGACCAAGAATCCCAAATCACTCCACCCCCGTATATACACACCAGCCCATAAATGCCCTCCCTGCACTGGGGACCAAGAACCCCAAATCACCCCACCCCCATATATACACACCAGCCCATAAATGCCCTCCCTGCGCTGGGGACCAAGAACCCCAAATCACCCCACCTCCGTATATACACACCATATGTACACACCAGCCCATAAATGCCCTCCCTGTGCTGGGGACCAAGAACCCCAAATCACCCCCACCCTCACCGTATCCATCACAACTGCTCTTGATCTTAATTCCAATCTGATTTCACGTGAACAGCAATGTCAAGGGAAAGAACATACTGCCTCATCCCACCCCCGGAATGGGACGGCCCCGGAACCTTCTCCTGCCCCCTGTAATCCTCTGAACAAGCGTGTTCTGAGCTCTTCTTTTTCTACAGCCTGGGTGTTCGACCAGTGCATGGTTGTTCACCTTGCACCTGGCATGTGGAAGATGATTTCCTACGGACAGGAAGCTCCGTCTTACCTGACTCCTGGAGATAGCGATACACCAGAAAGTTCACCTCGTCACTGGTTATGCTCATCTTAGCCTCACCTCGCGGCGATGAGGTCTTTATGAAGCGGGGGCCACCTTCTGTGAGAACGCTGAGAGGAGAAAGTAGAAGAGAGTTTTGAAACACTGCTTGTAATTTTTTTTTTACCGCATTCTTTTTGAGATGATTAAAAAATACTCAGGATGTTGTACATGTGAAGGTAATTAATGCCTGATCCGTGTTGTATTTTGTGATTACATAAAGATTTTATAATTGTGTGTGTGTGTGTGTGTGTGTGTGTATAGAGACACATTCATACAGGTGAAAGTTTTCCCAAAAAAGATGAGTTGGTGTACTTTATAATGCTGGGATGGACTCATATATAAACCACTAATGGAGACAAACTCAGGGGCCACAGAAAATGAGAACAAACACTGATTTTTTTTTTTTTTTAACAACTTACGGCTTTTTGCTGTACGCGGGCCTCTCACCGTTGTGGCCTCTCCCGTCGCGGAGCAACAGGCTCCGGACGCGCAGGCTCAGCGGCCACGGCTCACGGGCCCAGCCGCTCCGCGGCATGCGGGATCTTCCCGGACCGGGACACGAACCCGTGTCCCCTGCGTCGGCAGGCGGACTCTCAACCACTGCGCCACCAGGGAAGCGCCCCCAAACGCTGATTTTTTATTCACTAAAAATCCCGTGTGCGTTATGATCACAACGCAGTTGCCAGCGAGCTTGAATGGAATCCCCATGCGCAGTGGGACAGACGCGGCTGCCTTCGATGCCGCCCTTCCCTAGACAGATGGGGAAGACAACCGGGTAGGCCAGCAGGCACGTCGACACCCCCAGGCAGGGCGACCATATGGTCTGGAAAACACCTGTGGCTCTGAAGCAGTGATTAATCATAACACCTTCCACTCATAAAAGTTCAGTGATGAACTTGACCATCACTGAACCTACAGGGTGCACATGGCCCTGAGAAGGCAGACACACATCAGTGTGGAGCTAAGTCAGTGTATGTGTCACCCTGACATGACTTCTATACAGAGGCCAGGTGTCAGGAAGCCAGCCCATGGACACAGAGAGAACCTACATCGTTTGTATTTTGCCACAGAACTGGCTGCATCAGTCTGGCCGAGACCGCAGTACGGGAAGGCGTAGAAACCTGGGGGAGGAGTGAGGAGATGAAGAGAACTTCGGAAGCCTCTGTGTCTGAGGCAGACAAGAAGAAAGAGCCTTATTTTCTTCACAATCCTAAGTCTGACCTATGAGCACCCTGGCCCAAAGAGGACAGAAGTCACTCGAATAGAACTCTTTTACCCCCAGATAGAGCAGAATTCACACATGTGTAAGAGCGTTCACTCCAAACGGCAGTGGCCAAGAAGGGCCACAACTTCCTTCAATTATGTCATCAATACTGAACATTTCAGCCTGTTTGGGAACTGTCTTGAGTCCATGCCATATGTTTTCAGGCAGCTTTATGGTGGCAAATCTTTCATTATTGAATTACAATTAAATTTCCATTTGTTTAGAACAAGATAAAAGGACAAAATGCACATTTCAAGTTGGGAGGATTTGAATTAAAGGTTGTCATAAGGGACACACCCCATGATGGCCCCCCAATGAGTCCCACCTGATATAATCCCCTCCCCTCCAGTGTGGGCAGGACCTAGGACTCCCTTCTACCCCACAGAATATGTCAAAGGACATGGATGCCACACCCTGGTTAGGTTATACGGCAAGGATGGCCAGATGTCACTCCTATAATTGTTACATTACATTGTGTAAGACGCTTACTGGACTACAGAAAGACTCTCCTGCCGGCCTTCACACGAACCGCCCAGGGAACCAAGGGCAGTCTTTAGGAAGCTGTGCGCCTCAGTCCTACAACCACAAGAAAACTGAGTTCTGCCAACAGTGTGAGCTTGGAAGAAGACCCTTCCCTTCTCAGCTCTAAATAAGGATGCAGCCCAGCCACCACGTGGCTGCAGCCTCTCGAGACCCTGCACAGAGGAACCCTGCACGTGCCCAGTCTCCTGACCCTGGGAAACTGTGAGAGAATAAATGTGTTCTTTCTAGCTGCTGAATTTGTGGTAATTTGTTATGCAGCAGCAGGTAACTAATACAGTGGCCTCTTGGGACACTCCAGTTCTCACTTTGTCATCTTAACAAGACTTTAATTTGTAGTCACCAGAATTTTGTCATATGCAAAAATACTTATCTTCTTCACTTAATTAGGTGGTATTTCTGTACTTTTGTAGACACTGGAAAGAAAATTTGACAGTCAAAATATAAATCTGTCCTGAGATGTCTGCTTGAACTCTGGGGAGTTCACATAGAGAATGGCATTAGGAAGATATATGAGACGAAATAAAAGGCTATGAAACCAGAGCGTATACAAGTGAAAAAATAAAACATTATTCAAGGGACAGAACAAATAATAACAAAGATGTGCATGGCAGAATAGTGTAGCTCTGAAGAGACTTTTGATGATACTGAGTGGCAGTAATGATGATGACTCAGTTCTCATGAGGAAGTCAGTTTCAGGTTCTCTCTACGGTAAATGGTAAATGGTGGCGCCACTGGGATGTGATTAGGTCGTGAGGGCTCCACCCTCATGAATGGGTTAGTGCCCTTATAAAAAGAGACCCCAGAGAGTTCTCCGTCTTTCTGCCATGTAAGAACACACTGTTGCACACTTAACAGACTACAGTACAGTGTAAACCTTACATGAAGAGAAGACGGTGGTGTCTGGTCCTCACCAGATACCGAATCTGCTGGTGGCTTGATGCTGGACTTCCAGCCTCCAGAACTGTGAGAAATAAATGTTTGTTGTTTAGGCTGTCCAGTTTATGGTACTGTGTTATAGCAGCCTGAAGGGACTCAGACACCACCCCAACCCCCTTTTCTTTTATTGTCATTTTGAGTACTTATAAACAGTGAAATGTAATCTAACCAACAGGGTCTCTCGGCCTCAGGGAGTCTGACCTGGGGCCAGACGATTCTGTTATGAGAACACTCTGCACACTGTAGGATGTTTAGCAGCATCCCTGGCCTCTTCCCACTAGACGCCAGCACAACCTTCCCTCCATCCCCTACGGTTGTGATGATCAAAAACACCCGCAGACATTGCCTAATATTACAAATTGCTAAACTGCTGCTGGCTGAGAACAACTGTTATACAGGAAAACTAAGCATTTTGTGTTTGAAATGGATTCCATTTATAAAATTGTAAGACACCGTGGAGCTTGCTCACAGACATTGCTTAATGAAACGGCCATGCTACTAAAAAGGATCCTTTAAAATGCACCATAAGGGCTTGGCTTTTTCAAATAGTCTATGTAAAATCTTTCCACAAAATCACATTTTTATAAGGAAAGTACTGATTTTGTCTTTCAGCATCCAGATCTTTGTTTTCTAAGGAGAAGGTATTTGGATACATACGGACGACACCCCTGCACCCAGAGCCTGGTTCACGTTCCCCACCCCACAAGTGTCTGTAATATATATTAGAAGTGTCTGCACAAGCGTTAGCACAGGACTCTGGAGCAAGAGAATTTAAGATCCTCAAGGGACGGGGAATTATGGACGACTTCTGTTAGTCCGTTCCTCTGTTTTTCTTTATGCATTAGCCTTTTTCCCAACTAAGAAAATTTCCGTTTAAGCTCTAGCTCTCTATTATCTGATCCTAGATTCATCTTCTCTCTGAAATTTTAAGTTAGGATCCAAGGATCAGAGTGTTTTCCCCAATATGGTGTTAACTTCTTAAAGGATTTTTGATTTGTAAACAGCAGAGGAAAGAAAACAAAAATCATCCCCGGCCTGCGATAGAACCAGGGATGTCATACCATTTGGTCCACAAGAGTGTTATGTGTTTCTACTGACTGGTCCACCTCAACACAGGCACACCTGGAGGTATTGTGGGTTCAGTTCCAGACCACAGCAATAAAGTGAGTCACAGGATTTTTTTCTGATTCCCCAGTGCATGTAAGAGTTAGGTTTACACTATACTGTAGTCTATTAAGTGTGCAACAGTATTATGTCTAAAAAAAGCTATACACCCTAATTAAAAAATTTATTGCTAAAAAATGCTAACCAAAATCTGAGCCTTCAGTGAGCTGTAATCTTTTTGCAATAACATCAAAAATCACCGATCACAGATCACCATAACAGATATAATAATAATGAAAAAGTCTGAAATGGTGCAAGAACTACCCTAATGTGACACACGGACACAAAGTAGCAAATGCTGTTGGAAAAATGGCGCCAGGTGACTTGCTCGCTGCAGGGCTGGCACCAACCTTCAATTTGTAAAAAACGCGATGTCTCCTAAGTACAACATGTGACATTTATGAGGTATGACTGTACACATGTGAGGTATGCCTATACATGTATTCATTTTAAAACACTGATCTAGGGCTTCCCTGGTGGCGCAGTGGTTGAGAGTCCGCCTGCCGATGCAGGGGACGCGGGTTCGTGCCCCGGTCCAGGAGGATCCCACATGCCGCGGGGTGGCTGGGCCCGTGAGCCATGGCCGCTGAGCCTGCGCGTCCGGAGCCTGTGCTCCGCAACGGGAGAGGCCACAGCAGTGAGAGGCCCACATACCGCAAAAAACAAAAACAACAAAAACAACAACAAAAAAACTGATCTAATAATTGGATCAAAGTCCCCCCCACCAATAAAACACCTTCTTAAATTAAATGGCTTAAACTTCTTAAATGACTATTTCTTCTAAAACCTAACTAATTCCAAAAAAAGGATTTTCAGTGACTAGTGAACTGAAATGTGCATATATATTGTGAGACTATTCAATACACACAGGAGAACATTCTTTAAACCGACCATAAACCACAGGAACATTCAATCCACTCCAACGCTTTGGGTTTGATTACACCAAAATCAAGAGAAACCAACAATTAACTGGTGTCTAACTGCGGTACCTCTGAGCAAAGTGCTTGAAGGTGGCTGCTGTCATTTTACTGGGTCAACATCACTATTTTGACTCAAATGAGTAAAACGGCTGATCTTCACTTGGCAAAAGCTACTGTTTTAGACAAATTTCGCCAAGATCTACATAAGGTTGGGAAAAAAAGTTACCT